TGGGCATAATATTAAACTTAAAGAAAAATTGCCAAAGTAGTGTAAGAATTCCAATGTATACTTTACCCAAATTCATTTAGTAGCTATAGATGACTTTCTACTTCCAAATTATTTCTATATTTATGAGTTGGCATCTAGTTACTATTGATTCAGAACAAATCACCCAAAACTTAATGACACATTACAATTTGATGTCATTATACTATTATCTTTGTAATTGTAGGTGTTTCCTGGGCTGACCAAGATTTCTGCTTGGCATTTCTTACATGGATGTAGTCAGACAGCAGCTGGGGATGGAGTCTTCTCAAAGGTGGCCAATCCAGGCTATAGGATGTGTTCTCAGCTTAGGCTGTGCATCTCTACATGTTCCTGCTTGGCTTCCTGTACGCTTCCTTAAAGAGCTCCAGACAGATGTTTTATAAACTTTTATGACTGACTATAGTCTCAGAAGACAACTAGTGTTACTTCTATCACAATTATAGGTTCACTAAGATTCCAAAGGGGCAAAAGTATGCTAATATGTCCAATAAGGAAATTATCAACATCTCACTATTAGAGGGAACTGATAAGATGGAAGATCTTACGACCATCTTGGAATATCCAGTTGGCAACTCTCTATACTTATTTAAATCAATCTACATATTTTACTATATGCAACATATACTAATTTTCATCTGCAACATCTACAAGCATTTCCCATGATGGTGGTAAGTTAAAGTTCAAGATCTCATCTAGATCAGACTGTGCAGTTGAGCTTCTTTGCCCATGGTTCCTGAATAGCACCTGTCCCCAATCCCACTCAGACTTGTGAACAATGATGAGACAGAACTAGGTTGTAGATACTTGACAGACAACGTTGTAGATACTCCCTTTCAGGAAGAAGGCACTCAGCAGTCAAAATTCCACATAGCATAACGCCACAGCTTCCTTTCGGGGCTTCCTGCTTCAAATGTCTGTGTTTTTTTAAATGTTTCTTTTTTCCCCGAACTGTACTTTTTATCCCTTCAAGCAACTTCATCAAATCAAACAACAAATAATGAGTTTTTAGCAGTGTCTTCTATGTTGATCAAAACTCTCATTATCCTTTGAGGCAGTTGGATGTAAACTTTCTTCATTAATTGTTTGCTGTTTTCACTTGATTATGAATTTTGTTCTTGAATTGACACTGTAAGGTATGGATTTTTTATTCTGTTATAGTTGGTATGGCTTTTGTATAAAATTCTCCAATTTCTTCTTTTACTTTGTTTCCCTCAATTCTAAATCCCCAAGTTCTGTTAGTAAGACAACTGACCTCATAGTCTTGATCCACTTTGTACGGAACATTCCCAGGTTTGGTTCATACCAAGAAAATGACTCTGTATTCAAGTCACTTGAATTAATAGCTGTACCAGTGATTATTATTTATGATGACCATGGTTAATAAGGTTCATATAACATGCTTGTGGTCACTCACATTAGTCTTCACCAGAACAAGACCAGCTGCAGCTGAGGACGAGGAAATATTAGGGTGATGTGGAGTATTATTAAGTGAGAGGTTCCACATAGTCCCCGTACAGACTAAAGACATTGGGGAAGAAGCATCCATGTGTGTGTGTGACAGTTGTGAAATATTCTGTTCTGGAACAAGAAGCTCCAAAATATCTCAGCCTGGGATGACTTTGTGTGCTGTCCATAGAGCATTTGGCTACATATCAAAGCCATTATCAATGAGCTGCTCCCTAGCTCAGGACAGGTGTCTGCCTCAGCCATGTACATAATGGAAATAAGGAGCTCAACTCTTCTGCCTCCTGCTGCACTGATCCCAGAGGAGGAAAATGATTATGAGGAGGTGCCACACGATGGTGAAATTTGCTTTCTTCTCATTGTAAGTTAAATCTTTAGTACCTTTTTTTTTTTTTTTTTTTTTTTTTATCTGTGACATTTGATTTATCATGGAGCACTCACAGTGTTGAGTAACAGGATAAGCTCATAGAGTGGGGTGTGTTTTTAACCTCAGTGACATTTGTGCTTACGTGATTCTTTTTTTAAAAAACAATGCAGATGTCAATGAGAATATTGTGCTGCCTCAGTTTTATTTATTTTTATTTTATTAACTTTTATTTTAGATTCAGAGATACATGTGAAGATTTGTTACATAGCTGAATTTGTGCCATGGGGGTTTGCTATACAGATTACTTTGTCACCCAGGTATTAATCCCGGTGCCCAATAGTTATCTTTTCTGCTCCTTTCCTTTCTTCCACCGTCCACCCCCAGTGTGTATTGTTCCCTTCTTTGTGTTCATGAGTTCTCAATTTTCAAGTTCTGGACAAAACTTGAGGGGAGCAAGTTACTATCCAGAACCCTAGTGTCCCTGCATGGTTGAGTGACCATGAGTCTGAGGTAGATTTCGCTCCCACAATCGGCAGCCTGGAGCCTGAAGATGCAGCGTATTGTTACTGTCAACAACATCAAAGCTTGCCTCCCTCGTGTGACGAAACTGAGCAAAGGCAGTGCAATGATCCAACAATGTTATCTTGTTCAAGTTACTCATACATAATTGATGAAATCAGGTAGAAAGCTCAGTGAAAGAGATTTTGAAATACTAGTTTCTGTGATAACAGAACATACAGATTGTAATCACATACGTCGGTTGGAATTTTGGCCCTTACACTTAATATATGTGTAAATTTGGCAAAAGACTTAAACACTTTTATCTTGTTTTTTTTTAATCTCTAATAAAGGAAAATAAAAAAGTAACTATACCATAAGACTATTATAATCATTAAGTAATTGAATACTTATAAAATATTTATAACTTTCAAATGTATTAAACACTAAATAATTGCTAATAATCATTGTAATTTTGCTACATCTCTTAATTATGTAGATACAATGTTTCCCCAAATCCTGTTTCCTTTGACATTATTTACTAAATTATGATTTTTTCCCCCAAAACTCTCACTATGTTAAATGGCAGATACATTTTTTTCATGCCAAGCTGCTAAAAACAGATATAAAAAGCTAGACAAAATATAAAAAGCTGATACTGTAAGGTACCATACCTTCAAATAAGTGCTATACAATAAGCACTCTGACTCCATTTTTGATGTTTGATCAGTGACAGTTTTCAGTCACCACCTCCCAGTTTCCCTTCCACCACATATTTGTGCAACTGCCTACAGGACAGTCAAGCCTCAGAGATCCTCAGCAATACAAGAAAACATATCTCCAGTCCAACTATAAAAACCCAGCCCTCTGTCTAACTCAGGCCAGCTTATACCAGCTTGTGCATATCCTGCTTTCCCCAAGATTCCCTTGTGTGAGTTACAAAATTTCTCCCAAATTCTCTTGTACATGGAGTGTCAACAGCTTCACCATAATATCTATTAATTAGAAAAGATCCATCTCACCTCCATGAGTGACCACAAAATATGCCAAGAGAGCAAGTATTTGATGAATCAAGAAAATAAGATAAGCTTTTATGAACTAAATATTTCTGTCCCCTCAAAATTCACCAGTTGAAGCCCTAAGTCCATGTGTGGGTGTATTTGGAGACAGTGTCTCTAAGAAACTAATTACAGTCAAATTAGGCCATAAGGTTTAGGTTCTGATCTGATTCAATTAGGGTCCTTATAAATAAATAAATAAATAAATAAATAAATAAATAAATAAGGAGGGAATGGGCACAGAGGCTCGTGATGTAATCCCAGCACTTTGGGAGGCTGGGCAGGCAGATCATGAGGTCAAGAGATTGAGACCATCCTGGCCAACATGGTGAAACCCCGTCTCTACTAAAAATAGAAAACTTAGCTGAATGTGGTGGCACACACCTGTAGTCCCAGCTACTCAGGAGGCTAAGGCAGGATAATCACTTGAACCCAGGAGGCAGAGGTTGCAGTGAGCTGAGATTGCACCACTGCACTTCAGCCTGGTGACAGAACGAGACTCCATCTCAAAAAAAGAAAAAAAAAATTAGAGACCAAATCTATTAGCCCATTCTTGCAGTGCTACAAAGAAATACCTGAGGCTGGGTGATATAGAAAGAAAAGAGTTTTACTCAGCTCACAGTTCTGCAGGCTTTGTAGGAAGTAAGATGCTGGCATCTGCTCAGCTTCTGGGAAGGCCTCAGGAAGCTTACAGTTGTGATGGAAGGCTACGTGGGAGCAGGCCCATCACAGGGCCAGAGAAAGAGCAAAAGAGAGAGAAGGAGTTGCCATAAGCTTTTAAACAAGCAGATCTCATGAGAACTTACTATCACGAGAACAGCACCGAGAAGATGATGCTAAACCATTCATGAGAAATCTATCTCCATGATACAGTCACCTCCCATGAGGCTACACTTCCAATACTGGGGATTACAATTCCACATGATATTTGAGCAGAAACAAATATACAAACAACATCCTTTTACCCCTGGACTCTCTCAAATCTCGTGTCCTTTTCACATTTCAAAATACAATTATTCCTTTTCAATCTCTGCCCAAAGTCTTACCTTATTCTAATTTTAACTCAAAAGTCCCAAGTCCAAGTCCCAAGCCACATCTGATGCTCATCTCCTTCCACTGATAAGTCTCTGAAATCAAAACAAGTTATTTACTTTCACAACAATCAAAAGACAAAATTCCATTGGTTAGTCACAGCAGAAATGAAAAACTTAGAAAAATACCAATTTTGAGAAATAAGTACCATGTTGATATAGCCACATATTCTGCAACTTAGTCCCTAGGATTTCAGATTCTTGGAATCATGTCTCAACTGTGCATCCTAGTATGGCACCAATAGCATCTCAACCTCCCACTTTAGAAGTAGCTCGATCAATTCTAAACCTTTCCATTTAGTTTCCTAAATATTCTAAGTGATGTGTAGGACAATATATTTGTCCAAATTACTCAGGAACTGGTGGGTACCACTATGTTTTCATAGATACCAGTCCTCTCTTCCTTCCTTCAGGTCGTCAACATTCCAGTGTTGAATGGCCATGATGGAAATACTTGACATTTAAGAGTGAGCACAATCAGTGTTCAGCCTGCTTCCGGACGGGTGAAGAGACTCGTGGTCTGGTTCTAGGACTTCCCTAACAGCATGGCCCCTAAACACCAGTCTCCACTCCTGCCTCAAAAGAAGAAACCAAGACCACCGCCTGCTCTGGGACCGGAGGAGACATCGGCCTCTGCAGGCTTGCCGAAGAAGGGAGAAAAAGAACAGCAAGAAGCAATTGAACACATTGATGAAGTACAAAATGAAATAGACAGACTTAATGAACAAGCCAGTGAGGAGATTTTGAAAGTAGAACAGAAATGTAACAAACTCCGCCAACCATTTTTTCAAAAGAGGTCAGAATTGATCGCCAAAATCCCGAATTTTGGGGTAACAACATTTCTCAACCATCCACAAGTGTCTGCACTGCTTGGGGAGGAAGACGAAGAGGCACTGCATTATTTGACCAGAGTTAAAGTGACAGAATTTGAGGATATTAAATCAGGTTACAGAAGAGATTTTTATTTTGATGAAAATCCTTACTTTGAAAATAAAGTTCTCTCCAAAGAATTTCATCTGAATGAGAGTGGTGATCCATCTTCAAAGTCCACCGAAATCAAATGGAAATCTGTAAAGGATTTGACGAAACGTTCAAGTCAAACGCAGAAGAAAGCCAGCAGGAAGAGGCAGCATGAGGAACCAGAGAGCTTCTTTACCTGGTTTACTGACCCTTCTGACGCAGGTGCTGATGAGTTAGGAGAGGTCATCAAAGATGATATTTGGCCAAACCCATTACAGTACTACTTGGTTCCTGATATGGATGATGAAGAAGGAGAAGGAGAAGAAGATGATGATAATGAAGAGGAGGAAGGATTAGAAGATATTGATGAAGAAGGGGATGAGGATGAAGGTGAAGAAGATGATGATGAAGGGGAGGAAGGAGAGGAAGATGAAGGAGAAGATGACTAATAGAACACTGATGGATTCCAACCTTCCTTTTTTTAAATTTTCTCCAGTCCCTGGGAGCAAGTTGCAGTCTTTCTTTTTTTTTTCCTCTTGTGCTCAGTCACCCTGTTCTTGAGATCTCTTTTCTCTACTCCATGGTTCTCAACTTACTTGGGGGGAAATACTTTGAGCAGAATACAATGGGAAAAGAGTCTCTACCCCTTTCTCTTCGAAGTTCATTTTTATCCCTTCCTGTCTCAACAAAAACTGTATGGAATCAACACCACCGAGCTCTGTGGGAAAAAAGAAAAAGCTGCTCCCTTCGCTCTGCTGGAAGCTGGAGGGTGCTAGGCTCCTGTGTAGTAGTGCATAGAATTCTAGCTTTTTTCCTCTTTTCTCTGTATATTGGGCTCAGAGCGTACACTGTGTCTCTATGTGAATATGGACAGTTAGCATTTACCAACATGTATCTGTCTACTTTCTCTTGTTTAAAAAAAGAAAAAAAAACTTTAAAAAATGGGGTTATAGAAGGTCAGCAAAGAGTGGGTTTGAGATGTTTGGGTGGGTTAAGTGGGCATTTTGACAACATGGCTTCTCCTTTGGTATGTTTAATTGTGATATTTGACAGACATCCTTGCAGTTTAAGATGACACTTTTAAAAATAAATTCTCTCCTAATGATGACTTGAGCCCTGCCACTCAATGGGAGAATCAACAGAACCTGTAGGATCTTATTTGGAATTGACATTCTCTATTGTAATTGTGTTCCTGTTTATTTTTTAATTTTCTTTTTGTTTCACTGGAAAGAAAAGATGATGCTCAGTTTTAAACGTTAAAAGTATACAAGTTGCTTTGTTACAATAAAACTAAATGTGTACACACACACACACACACACACAGAGTGAGCACAATTTATTTAATCAGCATTCTCTATTGGAGAGCAGACTTTAAGTAGAATTGAATTCTGAAAAAAATAAATAAGTAAAAAGAGAATCAGATAGTGTGTGAGTTCTTTCATGTAACTATAACACACTCACAGACTGGGAAATTTATAAACAATAAATATTTATTTCTCACAGTTCTGGAGTTCAGAAGTCCAGGATCAAGATGCTAACACATTCAGTGTTTGGTGAAGCTGTCTGGTGGAGTCAGAAACAGCAAAGAAGACAAACTGAATGTTGTGTCTGCACATTTCAACAGAGATGGAAGGGCCAGGCAGCTCTCTGAAACCTTCTATATAAGGCCATTAATCCCATTCATTGAGGGCAGAGCACATGACTTAATCACTTCCCAAGGGACTCTACATTTTCATATCAACTTAGGCTTTACATTCCAACAATAAGTTTGGAACATCACAAACATCTAAACCATAGTAGATACTACTAGACAATTCCTAACAAAGTCAGCATATAACCATATAGGAAGAGTGACAAAAGCAGCTGCCTTGGTTACCTTTGACCAAGACTTTCTTACAAAAAGAATTCATTAGTGATATTCCTTTATCAACTCCAGTGATGACATGTTGATATTATGTAACTCTTGATAGGATGTACTGAAAACACATCCCTGCTGTAATATTCTTGCCAAAAATGAAAAATCTGACTTGAATCAATAGAAAATACCAAACAATCGAATTTTAGGGACATTCTCAAAAATAAGCAGACAGCATACATCAAAAGTTTCAAGGTATTTCAAAACAAAGACTAAAAAACTGTCAGAGATTGAAGGAAATTAAGAAAGCATGAAAACTGAATGTAATATGGGATCCAGAAATTTTATCCTGAAACATTAAAAGTAAAAATGTTAGATATATATATCAGTGGAAAGTTCAGTGAAATTCAAATATAGACTGTAACGTCGTTAATAGTAGTGGATTAACCATTAATGTTAAAGCTATTTGAAGTACTAGAAAAATAAATCAAAGATGATTTTATATTCAGCAAATTTGTCCTTAAAGAAAAGAAAAGAAGCAATGACTAGCATATATATCTTATAAGAAATTCAGGAAGAAATCCTTTAGAATTCAGAATCAGTAAATGACAATGAACAGTAATTTGAATCCATAAAATTAAATAAAGACTTCATAAATATACTTACCTTAATTCACATGTTGCTGATGTTCAGGAAAACCGAATCTTCGTGATAGATATCAGAGTTGCAGTTCTCTTGGTAGGTTAGAGGCAGAAGCTGTAGACTAGAAAGGTGAATGAAGGCAGCTTGTGGAGAATTTAAAATCATCCATATTTGTATCTGGATAGTGAATGTGAGTACTTTATTTGGTTGAGCAATGAACATGTTTGCATTTTACTCAGGGCACAATTTATTTTGATTTATAAAATGACGAGCAAACCAAGACCTCTTCAACACACATGAAGAAAAAATACAAAGCACCAAATATTTACAGAAGCTCAGCCATATTAAAGAGAAGTGTAACATTCACTGGGAAAATGCTAAGGAGGTAAAAAAAAAAATTGACTGTAAACATTGAAATATATCCTGTCCCAATAAGGCTGCTCAGATTGTTATTTCTAACAGTTTTTTCTCAAGTATACAAAATATGTTGTTCATAGGAAAGGCTCCTGTACATACCATGTTATTTCTACACCACTGCACCCATCAGGGGATTTGCATATTGTCCCCCAGGGAGGACCTTCCTTTGTGAGTCTGAGATAAAAGCTCAGCACCAGGCTTGGACTTGATTATCAGGATTTCTCAGGTTACCTTCTCACAATGAGGCTCCTTGCTCAGCTTCTGGGGCTGCTGTTGCTCTGGTTCCCTGGTGAGGACAGAAGAGAGATGAGGGAGGAGAATGGGGTGGGAGGGTGAACTCTGGGGGCTCCACTGCTTCCCATGTGTGTTCTGTCCTCATGTTAGATGTGCATGTCTTGTACTCTAGGATGGGGCTTGTAACTTTTGTATCTGCATGAGTAAGGCCTGTGAGGTTAAGATTGTCCCAGAAGGAACAAAGACTAATGCTCTGGTGACGACTCTGACAGAGAAAGAGGGAATGGTAGAGGAAACTTCTAGCACTCAAAGCACTCTGCTGTGCTTTGAAAATAAGTTTTTATTTTGAAATTATGTATTTCAGGGGTCTGAATCAAATTATAAAAATTGATTTAGCCTGAAATAAATAACAGAAGAAAAATTATTTTAAAATTGCTCTTAACGTTTCTATATAACCTTGCACTTCTCTCTCATTATTTCAGGATCCACTGGGGATGTTGTGATGACTCAGTCTCCACTCTCCCTGCCCGTCACACCTGGAGAGCCGGCCTCCATCTCCTGCAGGTCTAGTCAGAGCCTCCTGCATAGTAGTGGAAACACCTACTTGAGTTGGTTTCAGCAGAAGCCTGGTCAGTCTCCAAGGCGCCTCATTTATAAGGTTTCTAATCGGGACTCTGGGGTCCCAGACAGATTCACTGGCAGTGGGGCAGGGACAGATTTCACACTGAAAATCAGCAGGGTGGAGGCTGAGGATGTCGGGGTTTATTACTGCATGGAAGGTACACATCATCCTCGCACAGTGGTACAGCCCTGAACAAAAACCTCCAGCGTGGCCCAGCTGCTCAAGTGTGTTGTTTCTCTGGGGAGGCAGCTGAGCAGAATCTCTATCTGTATAAGATGAACATGTTGGAGATCTCAGGGCAACAGTTTGCATCTGAGGGTTCTGTCCCATGGGTGCCTCAGTTGTACGTCAAGCAAAACCCATTCACAGCCCTGTCAGCTACAACCGCCTTGGCATGGCATAAGCCATAAGAAACCAGAGGTGATCCCAGTGCCTGCGCAGGTGATAGACTGCCCTGAGGGAGAGCTGAAGGAAATCCCATCCCAATCCTCTCTGCCTCACCTGCATTGGGAAATAAGACTTAAACAGGTTAATAGCCAGACAAATAACCCAGATTTGTTGCAACACTTGTTGAAAACAACTTGAGGTTTAGCCGTTTAAAGTCTATTTTTAAGAGGATAATACGTGGTAATATTCAAAAATTGATATTTTTCAATCTTCCTAACTTCTTATCTTTCTCTTTCACCACTTATCATCCCACCACATATTGATGGTGGAAAGGGCCTTCTGCACAAGCTGTCATCATGAGGAGCTGACTGAGGGCAATTAGTAGAAATCTTGGATTTCAGCATCAAAATGGACTTTTGTAAATTCATGAGAGATAGAAAACATGCATGCTAAAATTATTTGATTTGCTTCAGTTGTGTCTTGCTGACGGAAAGGGGTAGTTTTTGAAATTTCAAAAGTTGAGTTTTATAAACTGAAACTTAGACTAGGAGACATGAGTTATAGAATTTGCCTCATAGACCACTGAAATAACACAGAATGATGTGTGATTTCTTTCCACAAAATGTAAGAGTTTGAGGACAGTGGGCAGACTTCAGGAATGGGAGAATGAATGGAAGATAGTGGGGGTCAACTATGGCCCAATAACCTGCTCTTTGACTTACATTAGGTACAGTTGTGGATGGCAGTGACTGTTGGGGGTTGACGATATAAACTCAGAAAGGAACCCAAATGTCTTTCTTATCAAGGAGGAGAAAGTATCACTCCCTGGCTCCATAGGTTGAGCCTGCACCACTGCAAGTTTCAAGGAAAAGTAGTTCATTGAGAATGATCTTTTAGTTCTGCAATCATCAAATGTTTCTTGAGGTTCCTGTGCAAATAGACCTGAGGCTATGTGACTTAATCACAGTTGAACTAAAACAATGAGCAGACGCCATGTGGTTGGGTTTGAGAACACGAATCATGCAGTGACACGCTAACCTGAAGTCCCAATAGAATCTACATCAACTGGGGAGCTGTGGCCATGATGACCAATATATCCGTGATTCAGACATGTACTATGAATGATATGCGCAGATTTATCAACAGCAAAAACTCCATGCACCTCTGTATGGGGAGTTTCTACCTTTCTAGACGAGCACCCATAGACTGCACATGTCATGAAACCACAGCCCCTGTTCCATGGAAAACACCGTCTGTGAGTAGAGGCTGCCTTGTGCAATGAAAGAGGCACAGCCAGATTCTCCTTTCACAGATGGGTTTCTCTGCCTGTGCCAAAGCAGAATTTGGGTCCAAATGTCCACCTGGCAAATACGGCAGGGGAACAAAAAGTCAGGTAAGCATCAGCTCAATTAGAAAGCTTTTCCTCACTCTGGAATTTTAGATTACCTAGGCCTCATTCTGTCCACTGTTCTCTGATGTTGTAATTTTATAACTTTTGTATTTTTTGTACCTTTTGCTGTGGTTGCTTTAAGGCTTTTAACCACAATATTATTGTAATGGGAGTGGAGATAACTTTTTCAACTAAATAATGTTTTAGAAATTACAATTTTGGTGTTCAATTGTCATGAAAATAATAAATGGTTTTCAACATATAAGTACATGCACTACTTTCACACGATGTAGTCATTACATGAAAATGAACCTCATTCCTATCTTCTAGCAGTAATTGTATAGAAAATATATAGCTTGCAGAGATGACACTTAAAATAATGCCCTAAAAGTATTTATAAAGTAATCATGACATAATATGATCAAAGTAAAGGAGCATTTGAATCAGCAGGACAACATATTCTTTTTCCTTGTTAAGGAAGTAAACCACATCAGAAGTGACTGTGTATTCCAAAATAATGCATTCTGTGTTGAAGGAAGATAAAATTCAATTTTTAAG